TGTGTGTGTGTGTGTCCTGGTGCTTGAACTCTGAGCCTGGGCACTGTCCCTGATTTTTAGTGTTCAAAGCTAGCGCTCTGTCACTTTGAGCTACAGCTCCACTGCCTGCTTTTGGTGGTTCACTGGAGGTAAGAGTCTCATGGACTTTCCTGCCTGGGCTGGCTTCGAACCCTAATCCTCTGATCTCAGCCACCTGAGTAGCCAGGATTACAGGCGTGAGCAACCTGTGCCTAGCTGAAGTTTTAACACCCACTTCAGCGGGGCACAGTGGCCTCGGCCTGCAATCCTCTCACTAGGAAACAAGGGGCAAAAGGATGAAGAATTCCAGGCCTGAATAATGAGAATAGTGGGTTAATCAATTTCCAGCTGGGTGATGAAGTTTATTCTCCATAGGTTTTGAAGACAAGCTGATGTTTTATTTATTTGGTCGTGGGGGTTGAACTCTGGGTCTGGGCGCTGTCCCTCAGCTCTTCAGTTCAAGCCTAGCGCTCTACCACTTGAGCCACAGCGCCACTTCTGGTTTTCTGGTGGTTTATTGGAGATAAGAGTTTCAAGGACATTCCTGCTGGGGCTGGCTTTGAACCAGGATCTTCAGATCTCAGCCTCCTGAGTAGCTAGGATGACAAGCGAAAGCCACCGGCGCCCAGCTAACACTGATGTTTTAAGTGTTACGTATTTCCTGGTCTTGTTTATCTCCTTAATTTTTACTTTGTACACAAACACACATTTTAGTAAAGTAAGCATAGATGGAGTACGCAGGCGTGTGTCTGTGTGTACATGTGTACCTGTGCATGTGTTGAACTAGGGTTTTGTTAGTGCTGAGGATCCAGCAGAGCTTTGCATACTACACACATGCTCTGCCATTGAGCTGCAAGGCCAGGGCTATGTCATTTTCCTTCCCACATTTCCCATTTGCAGTGGGAGAGACAGGGCTAAGGGCGCTTCAGCGCCGTCACTGCACTGGGCACCGGGTACCGTGGCCCCCGGGGCCCCGTGTAGAAGCTACGGTGGCGATGTCAGCCTCCCTCAGGAGCAGGGCCAGGCTCCGATTGTGCCAGCATGATTCCGTCCCAGGAGAGCTGGAGTCAGTTCATGGGTGCCATCGTGGAAATGGCGCGGTCCCGTTGGAATGGTCCTTCACTCTTAGAACCAGAGAGAAGGAGCGATTGGTCCCTCATTGAGGAAGTAAAACATAGGGCTCTTTTTTGGTCGGCCGTGGGGCTTGAACTCTGGGCCTGGGCGCTGTCCCTCAGCTCTTCAGCTCAAGGCGGGTGCTCTACCCCTTGAGCCACAGCGCCACTTCCGGTTTCCTGGTGGTTTATTGGAGATCAGAGTCTCATGGTCTTTCCTGCCCGGACTGGCCTTGAACCATGATCCTCCGATCTCAGCCTCCTGAGAGGCTGGGATGACAGGCGTGAGCCACGGCGGGCTCTTTCTTCTTTTGGCATTGTGAGGTAACATGAACTTGGTGTAGTTGTGGGTTTTGGAATGTTTTTCTTTGCTCAGTGGAGTGACTGAAGTCCCCTCCCCCACCCCCTTTTCCTTTTACTGTGTCTTGACGGCTGGGGTTTGAACTCGAGGCTTTGCACTTGCTAGACAAGCACCTGCCACAGGAATCACACCTACAGTGTTTGTTTGCCGTCGTTTTTTGACTGGAACTTGGACTTGGTATCTGCTACTGCTTTCAGTCATGGGCAGGTGCCTTACCTCCTGAGCCATGCCTCCAACCCCCTATAGCTCTTTTTGCTGTCATTCCCCCCACCCCTCGTCCCCAGGGTCTTGAGCATTTTGCCCCAGACAGCCTCAGGCCACTGTCCCCCTACCTGCCTCCTGCATAGGTAGGATTACAAAGATGAATTACCAGGCCCTACTTGTTTGTTTGTTTTTTTTTTTTTTTAAACCTGTCCTGGGGCTTGAACTCAGCGACTGAGTTCTGACCCACAGCCTCTCTGTGCTCAAGGCTGGCGCCCTACCACTTGAGCCACAGCACCACTTCTGGTTTTCTGGTGATTCATAGGAGATCAGAGTCTCACAGACTTTCCTACCTGGGCTGGCTCTGAACTGCGATCCTCAGATCTCAGCCTCCTGAGTAGCTAGGATGACATACGTGAGCCACTGGTGCCTGGCTTGGTTGTATCGTGTGTGTGCATGCATATGTGTGTGTGTGTGTGCACGCGCGCCAGTCCTGCGGTTTGAACTCAGGACCTGGGCACTGTCCCTGAGCTTCTTTGGCTCAAGGCTGGCGCTCTACCGCTTGAGCCACAGCGCCACTTCTGGCTTTTTCTGCCTATGTGGTACTATGGAATCGAACCCAGGGCTTCATGCATGCTGGGCAAGCACTATTCCACTAAGCCAACTTCCCAACCCCTTCGATTGTATTTTTTATTTGTGTGCGGGTGGGCTTGAACTCGGGGCTCACGCTCGTCACTTGCCCTTCTTCCCTCATGAGGCTTCTTCATTAAGCCTTGCCTCTACTGGCTTTTGTTTTTAGGCGCTGGTCCTGGGGCTTGAACTCAGGGCCTGGGCACTGTCCCTGAGCTTTTTTGCTCAAGGCTGGCGCTCTACCACTTGAGCCACAACTCCACTAACTTTTTTAAAGTTGGAGTCTCATGAATGTTCCTGTCCAGGCTGGCTTCAAACCTGGATTCTCAGATGTGAGCCATGAGGCAGCTGGCTTTTTGCTTGTCAATTGGAGGTGTGGCTCTCGTGGATGTGTCTGCTTGGGCTGGCTTCAAACTTGCATCCTCAGTTTTCTCTTGAGTACTTGCGATTACAGGAGTAAGCCACCCGTGCTGTTTCCAGCTTTTGTGTGTGTGTGTGGGTTGTGGGACTTGAACTCAGGGCCTGGGCGCTGTCCGTCAGCTCTTCAGCTCAAGGCGATCGCTCCACCGCTTAAGCCACAGCCGCACTTCCGGTTTTCTAGTGGTTTATGGGAGATAAGAGTCTCACGGACATTCTTGCCTAGGCTGGGTTTGAACCGTGATCCTCAGATCTCAGCTTCCTGAGTATCTAGGATGGCAGGCGTGAGCCACCAGTGCCCGGCTATTTCTTTATTTACTTATCCGTTGTGAGGCTTGAACTCTGGGCCTGGAAGCTATTCCTGAGCTGTTCGGCTCAAGGCTGATGCTCTAGCACTTGAGCTACAGCGCCACTTCCAGCTTTTTCTGCTTATGTGGTGCTGAGGAATCGAACCCAGGGCCTCAGGCATGCAAGGCAAGCGCTCTACCACTGAGCCAGCTGCCCAGCCCAAACTAGGGTTTTCTTATCTGAGCCTCTCAAATAGCTCCCATGACAGGAATGAGCCAATAGAACAGGCCCAGTTGAGTGCCTTACATTCATTTCCATTGCTTCATGTTAGTTGACATATACATATTTTTTTTGGTGCTAGTCCGGAAGAAAGGACCCAGGACCTTCTTATAGTAGGCAAGTGCTCGACCACTTAAGCCATGCCTCCAACCCTCAGATTGATCATTTTTGTATCTGTGTGTGTGTGTGTGTGTGTGTGTGTGTGTGTGTGCGTGTGCATACGCCAGTCCAGGAGCTTGAACTCTGAGCTTGGGAGCTGTCCCTACACTTTTGTGCTCAAAGCTAGTGTTCTAGCACTTGAGCCACAGCTCTACTTCCCTCTCTTGGGGGGTGTTAATTGGAAATAAGGGTCTCATGGACTTTGCTGCCTGAGCTGGGTTTGAAATGCCAGCCTCAGATCTCAGCCTTCCGAGCCGTTAAGATTACAGATGTGATGCCGGTGGCTCACGCCTGTCATCCTAGCTACTCAGGAGGCTGAGATCGGAGGATCGCGGTTCAAAGCTAGCCTGGGCAGGAAAGTCATGAGACTCTTCAATGAACCACCAGAAAACCAGAAGTGGCGCTGTGGCTCAAGTGGTAGAGCACTGGCCTTGAGCTGAAGAGCTGAGGGACAGCGCCCAGGCCCAGAGTTCAAGCCCCACAGCCGTCCCAAAAAGAAGATTACAGATGTGAGCCATTGGTACCTGGCTGTGTCTGCTGTTTGTTGCTGTCTGATCACTAAGCCCTTTTCTTCCGGGTGGTTTCTTTGTAATGAGTGGCCTGTGTCGTTGTGGCTGGTCGAAGTATGTGACTCTCCGAGGTTTTCTCAAGGTTACTTGTCTAGGGGGGGGATGTTGTTGCTTAATTATTACCGTTATTTGTTTGTGTCAGCACTGGGGCTTGAACTTAGGGCCTGAGCACTGTTCCTCAGCTTTTCCATTAAAGCCTGGTGCTTTACCACTTGAGCCACACCCTCTTCTGGCTCTTTTGGTGGTTCATCAGAGATAAGAGTCTCTAGGATATTCCTGGCCAGGCTGGATTCGAACCTCGCTCCTCAGATATCAACCTCCTAAGTAAGGAGGATTCCAGGTGGGAACCGCTGGCCCCTCCCTAGAGCCCAAATCCGCTAGCATTTTTTCCAAATACTAGTTTGTTTGTTTGTTTTTTCTTTCTTTGAGCTATAACAGAAGGTTCCTCCTCCTATCCCAGGACAAACCAGCTCTTTTTTGTTTTGTAGTTTTTGCTTTTTGCCAGTCCTGGGGCTTAAACTCAGGGCCTGGGCACTGTCCCTGAGCTTCTTTTGCTCAAGACTAGCGCTCTGCTACTTGAGCCACAGCACCAGCCACTTCCGGCCTTTTCTGTGTATGTGGTACTGAGCAGTCAAACCCAGGGCCTCATGCATGCTAGGCGAGCACTCTACCACTGAGCCACCTGCCCAGCCCATGTTGTTTGGTTTTATGAGTCCAGGGTTTGCTCACCTCAAAGTTGGGAGTCTCCTGTCTTGGCTCTCCAAGTGCTGGGGTTGGACATTTATACAACCGGGCTGGGGATGGGTTCGATTCCTCAGTACCACATAAACAAAAAGCTGGAAGTAATACTGTGGCTCAAGTGGTAGAGCGCTAGCCTTGAGCACAGAAGCTCAGGGACAGCACCCAGGCCCTGAGTTCAAGGCCCAAGACCAGCACAGAAACAAAAAACAAAGCGAAGAACAGAGCGTCACTCTATGCGTTCACGTGGCTGCGTGGATGGTTTGGCAGGATTCCCTCCAGGAAACCTAAGACTTAGGGCTCATCTGTATCTGAGCATCCTGCCGAACCTTTTGGATGGTTCTCTGTGGCCCAGGGCAGAGCAGCACAATGCGGGAGGAGCCTCTTGCTCCTGACAAAGTCTGGGCGCTGTCCCTCAGCTCTTCAGCTCAAGGCGAGCGCTCCACCACTTGAGCCACAGCGCCACTTCGGGTTTTGGAGTGGTTCTTGGGAGATGAAAGTCTCCTGGGGACTTTTCTGCCCAGGCTGGTTTGGAAGCTCAGATCTCAGCCTCTGGAGTAGCTGGGATGACAGGTATGAGCCACGGGTGCCCGGTGCGCTGTGGTGGTAAAAATATAATGGGCACGTAGTTTTCATTGTTCATGTTTGTGGAGTAGAATATGACCATTGTCTACCTGATACAGTGCACTGAACAGAGCAGTGTAATTAGCCTCTCTCTCAAATAGAGGGGGTCTGGTGGCTCACGCCTGTCATCCTAGTTACTCACGAAGCTGAGATCTGAGGATCAAAGTTCAGAGTCAGCCTGGGCAGGAATGATCAGGAGACATTTATTGTTTATTTTTGCCTGTCCTGGTGCTTGAACTCAGGGCCTGGGCGCTGTCCCTAAGCCTCCGTGTGCTCTAGTCGAGCGCTTTACCACTTGGAGCCGCAGCACTACTTCTGGCTTCTTCTGAGTGGTTTATTGGAGGTAGGAATCTCATATGGACTTTTCTGCCTGGGCTGGCTTCAAACCTGATCCTCAGGGCTGGGAAGTTGGCTCAGTGGTAGAGTGCTTGCCTTGCATGCTTGAGGCCCTGGGTTCGATTCCTCAGCACCACATAAGCAAAAAGGAAAAAGCCGGAAGTGGTGCTGTAGCTCAGGTGGTAGAGCGCTAGCCTTGAGCTGAAGAGCTGAGGGACAGCGCCCAGGCCCAGAGTTCAGGCCCCATGACCGGACCCAAAAAAAAAAAAAAAAGAATCAAACCTGATCCTCAGATCTCAGCCTCCTGAGTAGCTAGATTACACATGTGAGCCACAAGGCTGGCCAGAAGACTCTTTTCTCCAGTTAGCCAGCAAAAAGACACAAGTGAAGACACGGCGGAAGTGGTAGAATGCTAGCTTGGAGCAAAAAAAAAAGCTTGTAAGAGACAATGCCTAGGCCCAGGGTTGGCGCACACGCGAGGAAACCCATTCCTTTGGTGATAATGGTTTTTTTCCTGTTCTTTCTTTTCTTTTTTTTTCCCCTCCATGCCACCAGTCCACGTCTCTCTTCCTGTGGTGCTGGGGGTTGAAATGGAGGGCCTGATGCATGCCGGGCATGTTGCGTACCGCTGAGCCACCCTACCAGTCTCTTCCTCTTCACTGCCCTGTCCTCTGAAGCTGTTCCAGTTATTAGACAGAGAAGCAGTTTAGTAGGACGTTAGAGCTGGCGAAGCGATGGATACCTAGACCCTCAGGTGGTCATTCTTGTTGTTGTTGTTTTCAAGCTTCGGGTGGGGCTTGAACTCAGGGCCCGGGCGCTGTCCCTGAGCTTTTCCCCCTCAAGGCTGGCGCTCTACCACTTGAGCCACAGCTCCCTTCCCCCTCCCCATTCCTCATAAGCTTAGCTATCAGCCACAGAGTGGAGTTTGAACTCCCAGAAGCAAAATATTGGAGAAATACAAAGCAAGAGCGTAGCGTGTTGTAAATTCCTTCAGCTGGAAGTCTGGGGTGCTCCTCTGGTGCACCCCATTAATCCCCTTGCTCCCACTGCTCAGTCCAGCAAGCGTGTACTCGGTGACAGGACGGGTGTTCTTCAACCATGGCGCGTTCAGCGCGGCCGCTTCACCCCCAGATTTCAACAGGTGCCCCAAAACTTGGTTCTGGGTTGAGCGTGGTAGTGCACACCTGTAACTCCAGCCACCCAGGAGTCTTTGAAGCAGGGGGATGCTCAGTTGGGAGGCCAACCCAGGCGGGAAAACTTGGTGAGACCCTATCTCAAAGTTAGTTACGGCGGGCGGGCATGCTCGGGCGCATCTGGGATCTACGCCATGTTAGGAGAGAGGCTCCGGGTCAGAGGTCGGCCCCGGGCAAAACACACATGAAACCCTAGAAACACAACTCAAGCACCCGAAATCTGGAGGTGTGTGTCAAGGGGTCCACGGCGTGACTTCCCCGTGGCGCCCCCCAGCGCGGGTGGGCTGCATTTTCCTCCTTGCGATCTGGCTTCAAAGCCGCTCAGGCTACAGAGCACTGTAGACAGGGATTGGAAAGTTCCTGATGTCTGGGTTTGGAGGAAGATGGAGTTGGGGGAGGGGCAGGGAGGCCGGTGCAAGGCCGGAGGAGCCGGAGGAGGAGGCCAGCCCATGGCCCCGGCGGCTTCTCCCCCCTCTCCTCCTGACCTCCTTTCTCCGAGGAAAGCGATCTGCCCTGTCCCATCGGCCCGGTGGCTCCCTGGTTTTGTCCCTTAGTAAGGCAGAGCACCCCCTCTCTGTTTCAGGACTGCACCCCGTGTGGCTCGTGCCCAGGGGTTCTTGTGTGATCCCGAGGTGCCTAGCCGTGTGCTGGGCATCGTGGGGTTCCAGGGAAGTAGAAAACGGGGTCCCTGCCTTTGAGAGGGGCCATTTGCACCAAGGTCTTCACAGGAACCCCAGTGGGCCTGAGGCCCCCCGCACCCCACGCCCAGGCCGGCCTGTGACAGCTCTGCTCTCTCCCCGCAGGTAGAATGGAAGAATCTCACTTCAATTCTAACCCGTACTTCTGGCCGTCCATCCCCACCGTCTCAGGACAGGTGAGCGCCGTGTGCTTGAACCCCCGAACCCTGAGTGTCCTTCCTGGCTGGGGGAGGGAAAGGGGGCGCGGGACTGGACCACGCCTGACCTGTGGCTCGGCGCGCCCCTCCCCTAGATCGAAAACACGATGTTCATCAACAAGATGAAGGACCAGCTGCTGCCGGAGAAGGGCTGTGGGCTGGCCCCGCCCCACTACCCCACCCTGCTCACCGTCCCCGCCTCCGTCTCCCTCCCCTCCGGCATCGGCATGGACGGGGAGGCCAAGTCGGAGCAGCTGACCCCGCACAGCCAGGCGCCGGCCACCCAGAACATCACGGTGGTGCCCGTACCTTCCACCGGACTCATGGCTGCCGGTGAGCCTCCCCCCAGCCCCCGGGGAGGGGGGTCTCCCCACGGATCGGCCCCCCAGCCCTGCGGGGCTCTGACCCCCCCCCCCGGGAGTTGGGATGGTGCGGCGACCCCCGCTTTTGACCAGGTGGCCTTCTTTCCTCCTCTGACTCAAGGCGTCTCCTGTTCGCAGCGGTGGAGAAGAGAAGGGAGCCAATCGAGGGGTGAGTCTCGGGGCTGGGAAGGCCGCCTGGCACGCGTGCAGCCCCGGGCTCGAGTCCTCAGTACCCCACACACACGCAGGAAAAGCCCCAAGTGGCGCTGTGGCTCCAGGCCCAGAGCGCCAGCCTCGAGCCCAAGAAGCTCGGGGACAGCGCCCAGGCCCCGAGTTCAAGCCCCAGCACTGGCCCTTTTGAAAGGGGGTGGGGTTAAATCTCTCCACCCCGGAGGGGGCGGGGCCAGGGGTTGGCACCCCACTGGCCTGGGGTTCCCGCGCCCCGTGGGTTGGGTTGGGGTGGCGGGGAGGGGATTCCAAGGCCACATGGTGGGGGGGAATGAGAAGGAACTAGAGCAGCATTGGGGTGGAGGGGGGACCCCGGACCCCACCTGACCTGTCTCCCCTCCCTCCCCCCAGGTCCCGGTCTCGTGATCACGTCTCCCTCCGGATCTCTCGTGACCACAGCCTCCTCCGCTCAGACCTTCCCCATTTCGGCTCCCATGATAGTGTCCGCTCTCCCCCCCGGCTCCCAAGCCCTGCAGGTGGTCCCCGAACTGTCCAAGAAAGCGGGGTCCACTCTCCCGGAGGAAGGTGGCGGTGGCGGCGGCGGCGGCGGTGGTGGTGGCGGCGGCGGCGGTGGTGGCG